ATCTATTTACCAAACAAACTTAATATTTTATCAGCAGTTATGAAATCTGCTTCACCATACAAAATATTTTGTCAATTCGGTTAGTTTCTCCATTTAAACACAGTATAGTGATTGTAATTAATATATTATGAAATTTTTGAATTCTTGTTGACTAAATAGTTTTCGTTATACTTTCTTAACCTTCTGAATTTAAGAGGATGTATGATTTTGAAGTATATGAGTATAGACAACTACCGTATTTTCAATAATATCCGATTAGCATTTCATGTTGGTAACTGATAAGCTTACAAACAGATATCCTGATGAGTTAAATAAGTTTGTTTAATCTATATTTTTATTTTTATTTATTTTGAGAAAGATGAAAACTTTTCACTTCAAAATAAACAACGAAGAATAAGTTTATCCTTAAAATAAAATTTTTTTCACAAATAACATAGTAACTTCTAGATGACTCATTGATGAGAATTAGATTAGTGTTCAACTATGAATCAGTTTCATACATGTAACTTGTCATGTGACTGAATAGGGGGATAAATCTAAAGATTTACAATTAAACTGAATAATCATCAAATAAAACACAAAAGAATGAAGAAGAAAAAAGGATTAAAACACACACACAAAAAAAAACAAGATAGAATCTGTGTGATAAATTTATTCAATGAAATAAGTGGTGATAATCTTTGATAGTATGGATACATTCACCCATTCATATCTATTTCTTTAAAAAAACGTAGTGATTATTTTATAAAATGAAGTGATTTATTTGACCTAATTACACATAATACAACATAGAATTCGTCAATATCATTATCATCATCGTTATTATTGATAAAACTGTTATCTCGAGTATATTTGAGTAAGAGATTAACAAGGATTATTTATCAGTAGTTGTAGTAGTATAAAATAAGAATAAACTAAACAATCAAGCGAAAATGACAGGAAATTAGTTGTTTTGTTTTGTTATACTCTTTTGTAGTCGAAATCAGTTGTCTACATCTTGAAGAAAAGGAATAAATTTCACTGAATCATTCAAGTCTTTTGTTTATAGTTAGTGGATAACATGAGGTGATTGAAATTTTTAAAAAATAAAAAATAAATGTTACAGGAAGCAGAAAACTTTATGAGCGTGTTTATGTGATATATGTGACTGTGAATTATCATATTCCCACATTTCCCTTTTTAATTTGTTAAGTACTGATAATAGAATATGTTTTATGCATTAGTCTACTGGAGATTACTTATATGATTTGTAAGTGAAATATAACATACATCTATCATAAACTTATTCATTTAACACTTACAGACTGAATGTAAGCTGGATAGATGTGACTTACAAACTAATTTTTTATAAATATAATTCCCACCTTAATGTCCCACATTAACTAAGGACTTAACTACTGTGAAATTATTCGTTCAAATTTAGACGAGAATTCTTATAAATTCAACTTGAATATTTCAAATTGTCTGTGGTTTTGCAACTCAACACTGTGTATTGTTGTTTTAAAATGTTTTCACAGATATCCATAGTTTGTCTTGACTAGATAATAGAATGGTGGAGAAGATTTGTAGCTCAGGTGGATGATTTTGATGGAGTTTGGTCGTGGAGCTTTCATCGGACAAAGCGGACACCCCCTTCACCTTCCCCTACATGAACATCAATTAGCAGTCAAACGCCATGATACTTCCTCACTTATATCAATACACGTGAACAACTGCGGACACTCATTCGATTGGAAAAATGTGGAAATCTTGAACAGAGGAAATTCCAAAAACATCAGAGAGTTTTTAGAAGCCTGGCACTCAGGTCAATCAGCAATCAACAAAAATATTGAAATCAATCCGATTTACCAACCAATCAGAAAAATCATGCACAAATATAGGAACAAAAATCAAACCAATGGGAGACACAACCAAAACAAGGAAGTAAACAATGACAAATTTAAAGTCAATGAGGACCAATCAACGTCGAGGTGTACAGAACAAGCTATGAAGCGCATGTGGAGAAATTCGGACACTTCACTTCTATCTGAAGTTTGTGCTGTCGTTTAGAAGAACGGCGAAAGCTCCACGACCAAACCATCCAGCTCAGAGAACAAAACTCCATCACGATAATAGAATATAATAAATTTAATATTAAATTCATGGAGTGATTTGGTGTTTAAGGTTCATGGAGAGTAGTAAATGAAAATAAACGTGTAAAGTAACAAACTCCATTAAAAAATTATTCTTACTACTTTAATTGTTGAGAGAATGAATGACCATGTTTATCATCTAAAATAATTTCGGTAAATCTTCAAACAAATATGATTCATGAGATTCGATTAGCAATGAGAACTAGAAAAGCATGAAATCGATAACTGCTCAGCCTTACAGAAGTTCAACTGCGTTCTAAATAGGTTAGAGGTAACATCTCTGATATAGTATTGAGCAACTCTGATTGAAACATAAACAGGTGTAACAGTTCTCTTGAAATAACAGAAAAGCGAAAAAAATATGAACTCTGGGCAGTATGAAACTCATATTCAGCGTTTCTTTGATTTTAACAGTAATCACTTCATTCAATACTTAATGCCTGACTATGTCATTCGATGTATCTAATTCGATATGAATCAAACTTGCAGAAATACAAAGTATACGAGGGACAAAATCGTTTTCAAAAGATTCGTTGCCAATCATTTATTGATCCCTTTTTCTCCTTTGACATCTGTCATCTTGTAAAGTATTTAATACGTTAACCTTGTCGGTATCTCCTTTAGTTTATCAAAACAACATACTTCTTAAAAGATATATCAACCATTTTGGTGGTTTCGCTTGAGTTTATCAATGATTACCACAATAAACCACAAATTTTATAAAGGCACTAGAGTAGATTAGGCCATTAGCAAGAAAATCTAAAATACAAAACGCTATCGGGATATTTTCAGAGTTGAAGAGTAGGTATCCTAGAATTTTGAATAAACAGACTATTTTTCACCCAAAATCACCTAACATATTAACTGAAAATATTATTACGGTTGTATTTACACTAAACAGTTCTGAATAGAAAGATTGATTTTCAGGTTTTCTTTTATTTACGCTTAAGAAGTGCTGTATGTACTCATCGTAAAACTACCTGACCAAATAATACTTACTTGCTTACTTGTTACTAGCTGTGAGATGACAAAATGATGATCTGTTAGGAGGGGGCATCAAACAGAGATGAAGTTAACTATCCTTTGATGATAAAAGATGAAAACTGCATTGTATCACGAATCACCTGAAGTTAAAAAATGGTAACCATTGACCGATAGTGACTTGATGGTATTTTGGTCACCACGAGACATTTTCCCATTAAATTGCTTGTATATGATTTATCGACTGAATAATTTTCTCAGTAGGAAAGATATTAACTAATATAACAACGTCCGCAAATATGTTTCAGTCAAAAAGTATAAGAAATAGGTACGTTTGTAATATCTGTAGATGAAGTGAAAAATACCGATTATCAGACTTTTGAAAAGAATAAGGAAGTATATCTTCATAGGGTTATTGAATACCACATGTTATAGGCTAATTCTATGGTCCATTTTTTATTTCAGAAGGAGTTATACAAAGGCGGATTTTATTTCTTACTCATTGGGACACAATTTATATAACACATACCAACCTTAGATTTAAAGAATTTTTCATGACTTTCAAGTCTCCATTGCTTAAGTTTTACCATACTTAATCAAATAAAAACTTGGTCATTGTACTTGATGATAGCCTAATTAGCACCAAAGTTTCTAAAATAACTCAAGCATGGTTTGTCTATATAAATTGTAATCGAGTGATTTCTGTTGAATATGTGAGTTAACAGTTGATCAGCATTGACAGAAAATAGACAAAAGGCATGTGATTTAGATAGTGGTATATTGACTTTATCCAATTTGGTTCGGTACTTACAAAGAGCCTGATAGTTAAATGATAGAACATTTGTCACTGAACATCTTAAACTGAGAAATATTTCACAAATTTTGTTTCAGTATTCTTGTTTTCAGTATTATTATCAGTCAATATTTATAGCCAGACAAAATAAGTCGCAGACACGTAATGAATAAGGTAAGCAATACGTACACATACCTTCATGTAAAGGCAGTCAAGGTTAATAAGCAAATAATTGACAAGATCGGAATATGGTTCAAGAAAAAAAATAAATTGATCTCTTTGGAAGCTAGAATAACCCATGTATGCTTGACATAGCACTAAAAACTAAAACACCTCGTTATAAGCAGACAAGAAAAATTGGAAGAAACTGTACTTTGGAAAATGCAGAATATTTACTTAAGCTTTAGAACTAACCTATAAATAAAAATTATATTCATATCCCAGACATATTGATATTAATTATCATCTTTAAGGAATAAAACAGTATTTTCTCTGAAATTCTATTTCGTCATTTATTTATTATTTGTTTATTTGAACACATTAATATTGGTACAAAGGGACACCAAATATATAAACGTGATACTGCCTGGGTGCCCAAACAGAAGTAGGTGGTTTTCTTAGGGAGCCACACCCAGTGCCTTCAACCTAAAGGTTTGATACACAAGGTAGTGGAGCAACGTCAGGAGATGCAGTCCCATGGTAGCCGATAACCAACAATTGGTTCATACGCCATTTGTTCCCTCAGGACCCTGGAGCCCATGTGCACCATTGGTTTGGAAAAAGCATTTTCCAACTCACCTAGGTGGATCTTCCATATCCACCAAGTGATTATTTGGCGTAGATACATTTAGACTCTTACCAACTTTACATTTAAATTATGTAAACAGTTTACAAGTAATCACATTCAAATATCAGATCTTTCATACAAACTGTCATTTTTTATAAAACTAATTATTAAAAATAATTTAAATTTGATTACGTTAGTTGTTTTGTTTGCATAAGTATACTCTTATACATCTAAACATTCAGTCATATACATGAAAATACCAGCAACAATAAGCTTATTCAATTCATAATTAAAAGAATATACTTACTTCATCATTTTCCCTTGTATTTGTTCTTTTAACGATAATTCCCCATTCGTATTCATATTAGTATTGGTATTATTTATTTCCATTATAAATAATAATAATAATGATAATAATAATAATTTTGACTTATTTATTCATTAAAATGTTATGTAGTCGTAGTTCCTTTATTTAAATTCTCTTAACAGTTACTAATATTATAAGATTGTGATGTTTTGATTATTATTACTATTAGTAGTAGTAGTAGTAGTAGTAGTTTTTCCTTATAGAAGGTGAATTCAAACAGGAGACTGATATCATTCAAAGAAAGTAAAATCTCAGAAACTATCGTGGGTATTGTGATTATTATTATTATTCAATAGTGTGAAATCTTTTAATTATGATATTAAATACTCCGGAAGAATGTTTTCAAAAACAAAAAAAAAGAGAGAAAGAAGTACCATGGAATAAACTATAGTGAAATAATCATTTTCATTTTCTTAAAAAAAAATTTTTTGAGTAGTGAATTACTTCATGCTCAAAAGGAAACAACAAAAAATACATACAAGATTTTCTTTCAATTTTGATAGATTGGTTAATATTCTGCGAACCAATAGATGAAAATTTCTAAACTCAACCAGTTAAATCATTGAAAGGCAGAAGAATAAGTTTAAGAATTATCTCATATACTTATCGATAGACTTAAGTGAATAAACTCATTGTATTTTTTTTCTTTTCTTACCATTGAATACTTAGTTAGCTAGTCATTTAAAATATGTATAGATATGTATGTATCTCAAAGAGATTGAGTAGGCGTTATCACGTCTATTGTATACATATATACATATTTACGGTTATGTGTTACTGATTGAATAATCAGTGATACCAATAAAATTTCCCCTATGTATTGAGATTATCTCAAATGAATTAATTTATTAATAATTCGAAGGTCTCATTTTGGTTATTCTCAAAATACTATTGTTAATAATGTTGATATTTTCACAAATTGAAATCATGAGTCAGTTGAAGCTAGATCACCATGGAAAACCTGGAAGCACTGGACGGCCGTTTCACCCTAATATGGGACTCGTCAGCAGTGCGGGATCGTGGATGCGCACTTCTGAGGAGTCCCATACTAGGATGAAACGGCCGTCCAGTGCTTCCAGGTTTTCCATGGTGATCTAGCTTCAACTGACTCATGATTTCAATCTGTGAAAATTTCTAAAAATCCCCACAAACCCCTTCTGATAATAATGTTGATAGTCATGAATTTCTGAATATATAAAATGAATGAATCCCTTCTTTCAACAATCTATTTTGATCATGTTAGAATAATGTGATCAATGAAATAATAAAAAAAGTTGATATAAACATGAAATTGACTGGAATAATCGTTTATTTATGAAAAAGATTTCTAAATTCCAGTTAACAAGACAAGTTCTCAAGAAACTGAGTTGATCAAGAAGATAATATAGTTGAATTACTTATCAAATCATGAATAATTCATCTAACTTGAAAAGATAAAGGTTATCAAATAATCAATGAATTAATAGTTCTACCTGTGATATTGTATGGTAAAGTAGAAAAACAGTTAAACTAACATCTTTCAGACTATAGAATTAATTAAACTAATATATTTATAATATCTCGATGAGTAGAAAAATTAAATTTTCTGACGTTTTGTGATTCAATGTAAGCCATTTCTTCAAGGAATAAATAACCAAATCCTTCAGTCATTTATTTGGTTGTTTATTCTCTGAAGAAGTGGCTTACACTGAATTACGAAACGTCAGAAAATTTAATTTTTCTACTCATTGGGATATTACAAATACATTAATTTATTTATAACAATCTACCAAATTTATTCGAAATTATCAAGTCAAACCTTTGTAATGATACCTATAGAATTAATTGTCTACCAGTTAATTGTCTGGCCTTCTTTCTCCATTTCTAACAGTCATACAAAGATTCTTTGAAAGCAAAATTATATATTAGCCTTACAGTATGAAATAGTGAGAACTTTCTTCTAGTGAAAATAAAAACATCCAAACAAAAAAAATGGATAGTGGCTAGCAGTGGAATCCAAGACGCGCTTCTCGTTCTTTTTGGGACTCGTCAGCAAGTGGCTATCAGAATTCAGTAGCTAAGTAGATAACGCGATAGCGTTTGAACAGAACGGTACTGGGTTCGAGTCCCAGAGTGAACATAAACTCTAAGATGTAGGTAACTCCAACAAACGAGTCCCAAATAGGACGAAACACACATGCTGGATTCCACTGCTAGCCACTATCTATCTTTGCTAATAAAGCTTTTGATTTAAGGCAATATCGAGGCAGTTCGCTCGGGATGCACATATGTCAGTATGAGACTGATTAATTGCAGACCTAAATAACAATGGGAAGATACAAGGAAAAACAAATAGAAAGATTAAAAGTAACCATGAAATATCTATGAAGTTTTGATGATTTATAAATGTTTTAATCAATAAATGTTTGTTAATTTTCTACTGTATTCAGAAGAAATTATATAATTTTTATTAATCACTATTACTAATAATAAACATTTAATAATGCAGAGATTATTAATGATATTTAACAGTAATGAATAAAAATTTAGTTGCCGGTTTATATCTTGTCGCATTTCTTTCATTTCCGCCGTTATACATTACTGTTTAGAACTCAGTTAATAATGTAATTATAATATGTAATGTGGTAGTGTAAAAAGTTAGAACGTGGATATAATAAAAGATCTGCTTTTCATGGATATATTACTACTTATAATGACATAGTTATTACTTAGTAATATATAAATATCTATGTGTTAGATCAATAAAAATAAGTTATTAGTTATGAATTTAACGGACTAGCTAAAAATGATATTAATGTTATGTGGAATACTCGTTTTATAAAATAATGAGTATAAATATGTACACTAAATATGAAACAATGGAAACAAATAAGTTTATCTTTTATTCTTTTTAAGACATGCTAAAACATTAGATTAGTTGACATATTGAACGGTCAATAATCCAGTCTGATTATTCTGCTTCTAGATATAATCTAATTCTACTTATTTTCTTCACATTTAGTGGTGGTTACTGAGATTTAGAAAAAGTCAACATAACATTTGATCTCAGAAGAAATTTGAGACTGAACATCGCTGTAAACAACATGAATGGTATGGATTTCATTATACGTACTAGTCGTTTAGATATTTTTCGTTGAGATTTAAACTTATTACCCATGAATACGGGTTGAATTCCGCATGGAGTTCAATAAATCGCCTTATAGAAAAAATAATCTGAATTTCATTGGTCAGCAATTAGCACACTAATTGGTGGGTTTTTTAGGAGTTAGTCAATTGTTTTGCTTGGAATCCTACATTTAGATAACAAAACCTCGATTAAAGTAAGTAATATGATTAGATTATCCAGAATAGTAACATTTAATGATTGTTATTTCAAATGAAATTTGTGATGAAAGGAAAATCAATTGTTCATTATAGGCGATATCAAATTATTTTATAAAGACATTTTTTTGAGAACTATATATAGAAGGCATGCTTACACTTTAGTTTACATCATCGGTTGACGTTAGTTAAATAACTATGACAAACCCAAAAACAGTAGACAGCTATATTGTCCTAATATAGGCCTACACAATAATGCATATTACCGACTGTCTCAGATATCAAACCAAAAACCTTCAGGCTTAGTGGTTAGAAATTAGCCTTTTAAACTATTGGGTCGGTATTCAATGGTTTAATTTCTAACTTCGATCAGCTTGTTTTATTACGTGTTCATTAGTGAATAACTGTTTCATGCTCTACCTAATTGAATTCCGTCGGTCACAATATCCCACTAGAATATTAAATTAATCACCACTGAGCATATGATAATGTAGACTATAAAATTCAACAATCTCCATAAATAAGGTGTACTAAAATTATCTATTACTAATTTTTATAATGAAAAGACTAGGCGAGACTATAAGTTATGGACGAACCAACCAGATATAAGATAACAGGTCTCGGATTTCGGCGCGAAATCCACTCATCCATTTGGCTAAATAGAGTCTTGGCATTGTAGCTGATGTCAGTTGTTGATGAAAACCTTAAATCTAATTCCTAACCTTAACCATCAATTGTAAATCATAATTAAAATTTATCACACTAATTTATAACCCTCATTCGGTCCTACTTACCAGGTGGACACTCTCAATGTCAGTCAAGCGTTGCTCAAAGATCGTCCATAAATTATAGTCTCACCAAAGACTGATTCAAGATTTTTGTTTACCTTATTCTATTTCTTTTTTCATAAAATTCTGCAAATTAAAGTATTTTTATTATCAGAATAGGTTTTGTGGAGATTTTTAGAAATTTCACAAGTTTAAATCATGAGTCAATTGAAGCTAGACCACCATTGAAAACCTGGAAGCACTGGACGGCCGTTTCGTCCTAGTATGTGACTCCTCAGCAGTGCGCATCCACGATCCCGCACCACGCGGGGCTCGAACCCAGGACCTACTGGCTCCGCGCGCGAGCATTTAACCACTAGACCACTGAGCCGGCATCCAACGGTGTTAATGTCTAACTTCAACCAATCCACGAAGTTGCGCCACCGTACACCATTGTCTTCAGTGAGTTCCTATCTCACAACAGACCTGGTTGAACTCCACTGGTAACGACTTCTCACTAGAACTCCAGAAGTATCCCCTGAAGTCAGTCACTAGTGAGCAGGTGATTATTATTATCAGAATGCGTTTTGTGGAGATTTTTAGAAATTTCACAAGTTGAAATCATGAGTCAATTGAAGCTAGCTTGAAAAGAAAAAAATTCAAAAGGGAAAAATGCCAAGTTACTATACAGTTATTAAAATATTACCAATTTTACTTTAACCAACAGTATTACTGAAAATAATCAATATCTCAATGTAACACCGAGAACAGAAGGTGAGGAAAAATAGGCATATATATATATATATACCATTCTGAATTTAATCATTCAACCTAATCGTTCTCAGTTGAGTAGCTTTTGTTCCAATGTTAATTACAAATGAAAATATTCTCTCTCTTTTACAGATAGATAGATGGATATACATCGGAGATTTATCACCTTTTAAATTATTTTACTAATCAATTTAGTCAACCGTAAATAACATGGAAGTTTCCAACTGCCTAAATTAAAATTGATACAATGTGACTCATGTATTATTTATATTCATATTCATAGTTAAAACACAATTAAATGAATGGGACTTGTAAAATTTTGAAAACATTTCCATTGTATGTTGGATTTAGTCATTTAACTTTATAAAAAGAAAATATCCCTTATTTTACATTTTTATTATTAATTTGATATTTTTTTATGGTTTTCTTATTTAAATAGACAAAATTAATTAAGCGATTATCTTTCTTATTTGATTATAAATTTGATTAGTGATGTCAATTGTCATGACAACCTTTTAAATTCCTTAAGAATAAAAAA